TTCTAAGGCTAACTCGTGGAAGCACTTACAACCCCAAAACGAGGCTCCAAAATGAGGCCTCGTTCTGGCTCCAGTTTTGGGGCCCAATTTGGGTTCAATTTCGGTAAGCCATTTCTCGTTGCCTGCAGGCCGTGCTCTTCTGGCGCCACGCTGCTTGGTTGGAACGCTCCAGCGCGAAGCAGCCAGTCTACATCAATATAGATGAAACGGCTTTAGCCTATTCGTTCCATGCTGCGCCTGGCCTGATACAGCGGAAATTCCACGCAGAGGTTCAAGTTAGACCTCAAGACGCACGTGGGTGCATCACCCACGTCGCTCTCGTCTCAAATGTCCTCAGTGTGCAAGCGCATTTGCCACAGATTTTAATATGTAACAAGCGTCGTCTCAGCAGAACCCTGGAGCAACAATTGCAAAGCGTTGTTCCCTCCACCGTGACTCTCTGTCGTGAGGATTCCTCATGGAATTCAGCACGACATATGGTCTCCTTGCTAACTCTCTTCGGTCAGCTCTTTCGCATCCGCTTCCCGCAATATCAGGCCATTGTTGTCTTCGACGCGGCCTCGTGCCATCTTGCTCCGGGCGTCATAAGAGAAGGACGCCTCCAGGGGTTATTCATGCTGCCGGTGCCCCCAGGCATGACGTCCTACCTGCAGCCTTTAGATTTATGGTGTTTTGGACCATATAAGAAATGGTTGGAGCGCGAAAACCGCCAGCAGCGAATTTGCCAAAATGGGCTCGTGTCTCTAGAGACTTGGTTTAGAACAATTTTCAAAGCGTGTACAGACTACTGGACGAATCGTCCCTTTTGGAAGGCCTTTGCACAGGCAGGCCTTCCCACATCCGAGCAAAGGTTGCATGGCAAGCTTGCCTCGCTGTTCCCGGAGGGAATTCCCTGTCTGGAGCAAGCTTTGTCTCCAGATGAATTTGCACAGTTGTTGCCTAAAAGGCACGACTTGACCCGGACTTTTTCTGACTGGGTGGGCGGTCCCCGGCGAGAGGTGCCGGTGCTTTCCTAAACATCTTGAAGCATGCAGAGAAGACGTGCTGCCGCAAAAAATTGCAACTGTACAGGAACGACTTGTGCCCCTAGCGTATCAGCTGCTGCCAAGCACTCTGATTTGGCTCCGGCCATCAAGCAGTTAATATGGCGCTTGCTGAGTTCTCTGCTTGGCTCCAGCAAACCCTGCCTTAAAACACCGTGCTGAAGGCATGGCAAACAACGAGGCAGGTCAACACTGTTTCACAGCACCCCTGCTGAAACAAAGCGCCCCGCCCGAGGCCGAGGTTGCGGGACCTGAGCTTCCACAAGAGCCCGACCATGTGGAACTGCTCCAGGTAGCCATGCCAAAAAAGCATCCACAGGAGCAGCTGCTCACTCGTGTCTGTGCAGGAAACGCTGAACGAACGCCTTGCTGCCCTAAAAGCTGCCAGGGCAGCTGCGAAGGCTCACAGCATTGTGTGTCTTAGGAAGCTCAGGCCCTTTCTTGTACAGCCTTGTGTGCCTCTCCAGGTACAAGCCAAGCAGCTGAGCAAGGTGGTAAAGGCCGAAACAAAAAAGCTCAAAAAAGCGCGGGCGGTGGCACGAAAGCTGAGCGAGGCAGACTTGCTAGGGCTTCTTGTAGAAAAGAGGCAACCAGTTCTTTGAGAGTGGGAGCTGGAAGCTTCTAGAAACTGTTTTTTCGAAAGCTTTTCCCTCGTTTCTCACTCCCGCAGCTGATGCTCTTGATAATCTGCAGACTTCTTCTGAAGTCGACAAGTTTGTGCAGACTCCAAACTTTTCTTCTGCACTCTCAACGCCTGTGCTGTTGCTGCTTTCTGCAAGAGAAGCAGATGCAGCGACACGTGCCTTGAAAATATTGCTGCTTTGTTTTGCTGAAATGATGTCGGAGATTGTGGCAGTAGTCCTGTGAAGTTTTCATTCGCTCTTTTGCAAGTAACAAGTCGTAGCCGTGATGCCTTTGTCCTAACATGTTCAGACTTTTGGCAAGAACATTGTTAATGTGCTTTGGGGAAGACTGAAGACAGCAGTGCACGGCAGCATGAGCTCAACAATGGTGTGCTTTGTCTGCGATGGATCGGTCGTGACCTGAGATGCTAGCCTGTCTCTGCGTTGTTGCGGCCGTTCTTGCAAGCCCTGCTGTCCTATTTAGGAAAATATTGCATCGGACCAAGCTTTTGAGATTTCGGAAGATATTGCATCGGATCAAACTTTTGAGAAATAGGAAGTTATTGCTTCGGATCAACCTTTTGAGATGTGCTCTGGAGTACTGCTAGCGATGGTAGAGACAGCAGTGCAGTGCAGTACAGCGGCATCTGACGACTGAAGACAGTAGTGCAGTGCAGCAAATACTGCGCCGTTCTTGAGGTGTGATTTTTTTTTGCGACGGATCAGTCGTGACCTGAGATCCAAGCCTCTCTCTGTGCTGTTGCGGCCGTTCTTGCAACTAGCCGCGTCGTGCTGTCATATTTGGGAAGATATTGCATCGGATCAACCTTTTGAGATTTAGGACATAATTGCATCGGATCAAGCTTTTGAGATGTGCTCTGGAGTGCTGTAAACGATGGTAGGGACAGCAGTGCAGTGCAGCGCAGCGCAGTGCAGTACATCTGAAGACTGAAGACAGCAGCGCAGTGCAGCATCAGCTCAATGATGCGCCGTTCTTGAGGTGTGATTTTTTTTGCCACGGATCAGTCGTGACCTGAGATCCAAGCCTCTCTCTGTGCTGTTGCGGCCGTTCTTGCAAGTAGCCGCGTCGTGCTGTCATATTTGGGAAGATATTGCATCGGATCAACCTTTTGAGATTTAGGACATAATTGCATCGGATCCAGCTTTTGAGATGTGCTCTGGAGTGCTGTAAACGATGCTAGGGACAGCAGTGCAGTGCAGCGCAGTGCAGTGCATCTGAAGACTGAAGACAGCAGCGCAGTGCAGCATCAGCTCAATAATGCGCCGTTCTTGAGGTGTGATTTTTTTTGCCGCGGATCAGTCGTGACCTGAGATCCAAGCCTCTCTCTGTGCTGTTGCGGCCGTTCTTGCAACTAGCCGCGTCGTGCTGTCATATTTGGGAAGATATTGCATCGGATCAACCTTTTGAGATTTAGGACATAATTGCATCGGATCGAGCTTTTGAGATGTGCTCTGGAGTGCTGTAAACGATGGTAGGGACAGCAGTGCAGTGCAGCGCAGTGCAGTGCATCTGAAGACTGAAGACAGCAGCGCAGTGCAGCATCAGCTCAATGATGCGCCGTTCTTGAGGTGTGATTTTTTTTTGCGACGGATCAGTCGTGACCTGAGATCCAAGCCTCTCTCTGTGCTGTTGCGGCCGTTCTTGCAAGTAGCCGCGTCGTGCTGTCATATTTGGGAAGATATTGCATCGGATCAACCTTTTGAGATTTAGGACATAATTGCAACCTTTTGAGTTGCTAACGCGTTAAAGGGCAGTGTTCGTGGTGTCGTGCTCTGGAGTGCTGCTAACGCGGCAGAGACAGCAGTGCAGCGGCAATTCAAGACTCTTCGCAGGGTTGCTCTTTCAGTTCAGCTCCTTTTAGGGATTAGGGTTCCTCAACACATCTGGGGTTTCCCAACCAACATCTCCTTTTAGGGTTGAAGGTGTTATTTTCTGGTTTTGAGCGGAGATTTTTAGACTTCTGCCAAGAACACGCTTCCAAAGAATAGCTGGAGACTCTGCAAATCCAGTTTTACGTGGTGTGGCGCTCTGGAGTGCTGTTAACGCGGTAGAGACAGCAGTGCAGTGCAGCGGCAATTGAAGATTGAGTAGAGACAACAGTACAGTGTAGCACCGGGTAAATCAAGCGCTGCTCCCTAGGTTTTTCTGATTTCTGACACATCGGTCGCGACCTGAGATTGACACACTGAGAACAGTCCCAGTCATGGTTTGGAGTGCCGCTACGTGATGGAGAGCGATGTTAGTGGCGTCGTGCTCTAAAGTGCTGCTATAACGCGGTAGAGACAGCAGTGCAGTGCAGCCGCAGTTTCAAGACTGACTAGAGACAACAGTACAGTGTAGCATCAGGTAAATCAAGCGCAGTTCCCTAGGCTTTTCTGATTTCTGACGCATCGGTCGTGACCTGAGATTGACAGACTCAGAACAAGTCATGGTCTGGAGTGCTGCTACGTGATAGAGAGCGATGTTAGTGGCGTCGTGCTCTGAAGTGTTGCTTTAACGCGGTAGAGACAGCAGTGCAGTGCAGCGGCAGTTTGAAGACTGAATGTTGCTGTGTCGTGCTGTGGAGCGTGCGTGCAGTGCAGCTTTGTTTTCAGAATGAAACTGCAGGCAGTGCAGTTGCCGAGGCTTGCTTGACTTCCATCGGATTTGTGACTGAACAGGGCAAAAGTCCAGCCGCTCCTTGCTTTGTAGCTTGCAGAGCAGGCGTTGACGCAATTTACACTTCGGCATTGTCCTGCTCCCACCACGTACACTTCACAGCGTAGAAGCGCCGCACGATGCAAAGAGATGCCTGTTTTGCTCGCTACCCCCCTCCTTGGTTTCATTTTGCTCGGGATGCGCTGCTCATGTTGCTCGCTTTGTCTCCCCAGTTTTATTGCTCAAAGGACGCTCTTCTGGTCGCTCAAGCGTGGATCCACCAAGAAAAAGACATGCCATCGTCCACCTGGGCCGAAGGACTGGAGACCACTCGTAGCTGGAAGGCCACAGTGAGCCCCGTGAGGCGTTCCTTTTTTTCTGCTCTGGGAGAATAATAATTCTATTCTCCCACAGCGGGAAAAAAGGAATGCCTTCCCCACTAGGGGGATTTCCATCTGGAAGGTTCCTTTGCGTTCCTTTCCGCTCTGTTTTCCACCAGAAACGTGGAAGTCGCAAGGGTTCTGACAGGTTTGGTGTTCCCTTTCCATTCCTTTCCACAGTTTTGGACATCCAGTGATCTGTTCTGCCGTTGGCGCGTGGCCCAAAGTTGCTTCAATGAAGCGCCGGCGTTTGCTATATAAGCAGCCTCTTCCTGCCGCGCCGTCGAGTGATGAGCTTGGGCAGGTGAGAACGCTTGTGAGAGACAAGTGGGTTGCCTCCTACCTTGCCGAGCATGGACGTGGGGGTCAGGATGCACGTGCTGCGGCCAAACGAGAGTTCACCTCAGCCGCCAACAAGCGTCAGATGCTGAGTTCCATGCTGGAGTCTGGGCAGGTACCACCCCGGCTTCATGCAGCAGCCACCCGTCTAATCATGGCTTGGACATCTGAGACGCCCCTCCGCGGCCCACATGAGGTGGAGGAGGATGTCATGAGTTCGTACCGTGGCAGTGGGACTATGTTTCGGTATTCAGGGTCGTGGAGCCGTGTGGACGATGCCGCAATGTCGGCGGTGCTGGTTGCGAAGGGTCACAATGGCATTTCTGAGGTATGCAGTCGCCTCAAGTGTCACCCCTATGTGCAAGGATTGTGGGACGAGTTCTCGGCCTTCAGGCAGCAGCTGGTGTCAAGCACACCTATCACGCGCTGGACTGCAGCCATGGAGCTACATGTGGAAGCTTCGCTTGCGGCCAACCCTCCCATTCCATCGGTACACATACATTTTATGTTTGATGCCATTGGCAAGACCATCTCATTTCGAAATGAGCCTGGATTGAAGTTTCGCAACTCGCAGCCGTACAGGTCGCTTGCAGCACCAGTCGCCCGCGGACGGGCTTGCAAACGAGCCTATGATCAGGGGCACTTTTACTTGACTCCGCTCAAGACAGGTGCCATACTCCATGCCACAAATGCACCACCGTTCAAGTCCTATGCAGTGTCTCCAGAATGGATCACAAGCATGTGGCAAGGGGATAAATTGTCTCCGGAATCGGCCAAGGAACTCTATCTCAAGTGCAAAAAGCACGTCAAACAGTATTGTGACAATGTCACATCACAGGTCCAGATGACCCAGCAGAGCAACTTGCAGGAACGCCAGGCTGCAGCACAGGCAGCCTTGCTCCGCATGCATCGTCCTCGGGTGTATCTGGAACCAGTGGAACAAGAGTTCTTGCCTCAATTCCAGGTGGATGCTTTCAGACGACGCTTCTTGGTGCTGGACGGACCCACGAAGCTCGGCAAGACGACCTCCAGCCTTGCAGGACCCGAACACACTCTGGAGTTGAATTGTGCATCGTCCATGGAACCCCATTTGCGGGACTTCAACAATGATGTTCATCGCGCGATCGTGTTTGATGAGGCATCTTGTGCCATGGTTCTCCGGCACAAGAAGCTTTTCCAGGGTGGTGTGCAACCACTGGAACTGTCCAGCTCCAACACGAATTGCTACTCTTACAAGGTTTGGGTCTATGGCACGATGATGATCGTCACAAGCAACACCTGGACTGCAGAGTTGCATGAGCTGTCACCTGAGGACGCATCATGGCTGCGTTCCAATTCGGTGCACGTCTACTGCACACAGAAATTGTATTGCTAATGACTGCTAATGCATGAGTGACTATGGCGAAGAAAGGGCCACGTCTGCTGCTGTCACTTTGGTGCAAGGCTTCCAAGACCACGTCAGATTTTCTCACTCTGGGGCCAGTGCCGAGGCAGAGAGTTTCAAGCTAGGACGTCTGCTGTTTTCAGTTTGGGGTGACAGTGCCTCCCAAGATGACGTTGGGTTTCCGAAGAAGGTGTTGAAAGTGCCAACGTCTGCTGTTGTCACTTCGGCTGTTGTCACTTCGGTGCAAGGCTTCCAAGACCACGTCAGATTTTCTCACTTTGGCGGGCAGTGCCTCCAAAAAAGGCTTCCAGCCCTCGGTCTCCAGCCCTCCAGCTTTTTAGGGCAGAGAAGCAGAGGGAGGGGCTGGAAAGGGTTGGGAGCTGGAGAAGGCTGGAAGGCTGGAGGGCTGAGGGGTGGAAGGCTGGAACTGGAGCGCTGGAAGGTGGAGGCTGGAGGGAAGGCTGGAGGGTTGGAGGAGGGCTGGAAGGCTGGACTCCAGCCCTCCCTCCAACCTTCCAGCCCTCCAGCCTTCCAGCCTGGCTGAGGGGTGGAAGGCTGGAGTGCGGGAGGGGAGGGAGGGAGGGAGGGAGGGAGTGAGGGAGGGAGGGAGGGAGGGAGTGAATGAGGGAGGGAGGGAGGGGAATGAGGGAGTCAGGGAATGAATGAGTGGTTGAGACGTTGATGCCGTCCGTATCTGCCGTATCGTGTTTCGCTAGTGGTTTCCATGATGTTCCATGCAAAAATGCAATATTTGTCAAGAAAGTGAGAGTTCGCGGGGCCACCAGCGACGGGCAGAGTTCGAAAAAACTGGTCTATGAAGTGTTTGACACGTTCAGTCCGTCCGTATTTGCCGTGTCGTTGTCAGCTAGTGCTTTCCATGCAAAAAAGGCAAGATTGTCAAGAAACTGAGAGTGGCGCAGCCACCAGGGACAGTGCAGAGTTCGAAAAAAATGGTGTATGAAGTGTTTGACACATTCAGACCGTCCGCATCTGCCGTGTTGTATTTCGCTAGTACTTTCCGTGCAAAAATGCAATATTGTCTAGAAATTGAGAGTTCGCGCAGCAACCAGCCGCAGTGCAGAGTTCGAAAAAAAAGGTGTGTGAAGTGTTTGACACGTTGAGGCCGTCCGTATCTGCCGTGTTGTATTTCGCTAGTGCTTTCCATGCAAAAAAGGCAACATTGTCTAGAAATTGAGAGTTAGCGCAGCCACCAGCCGCAGTGCAGAGTTCGAAAAAAATGGTGTATCAAGTGTTTGACACGTTCAGGTTGTGAGTATCTTCTGGGGGAGAGCGGGAGGGAGGGAGGGAAGGAGGGAAGGAGGAGGAAAGGAGGGAACAGGGAGGGAGGGAAGGGAGGGAGGGAGGGAGCGAGGGAGGGAGGGAGGGAGGGGCGGGAAAGAGAGAGAGAGAGAGAGAGAGAGAGAGAGAGAGAGAGAATTACTGAAAGTGACAGTGAGAGCGAGAGTGAGAGTCAGAGTGCGAGTGCGAGTGCGGGTGAGAGTGAGGGTGAGAGTGAGTGTGCGCGAGAGTGTGAGCGAGAGGGAGAGAGAGTGCCCAGGTGATGGCGGGGTCGTCAAAGTCAGAGGCAGCCGCTTTTGAAGTGTAGTGCTCGTGACCGCTGCGGAGTCGTCAAAGTCAGAGGCAGCCGCTTTTGAAGTGTAGTGCTCGTGACCGCTGGTCCTGTTTGTTTCCTGTTGGTCGAACCCACCCCTCCGGGGGGCGGGGCAGTGTGTCTTGCTGGCGCAGGGCTTGGGACCGCTTTATGGGGCTTGATTCCCACAGCAAGTGCTAGGAGGCCAAGTCGTGCCTGTAGAGTAAAAGCCAGCGGTGTTCAGACAGGCTATGCGATTGATTGATTGTGCTGCATCATGCAGTTTTCCACAGCCACTAGCTGTTACTCGACATCCGTTTTCTCAGAGCAGAGGCGGTTTTGCGTTTGAAACATGGCTGCCGCAAATCCAACAGTGGAGCTGCAGCGGATCCGCCAGGAGGTTTCTTTTGGTAGGTAGGACGACATAGAACGGGAGCAGTTGTGCATTGTTGCACTTTCTGTCGTGTGATTTCCTTTGGAAGGTTGCATGTCTTCGAAGAAAGATTTCTTCGTTGTCACGGACGAGAAGAGCCGAGAAGCAGCGGGAAGCCAACATGGGCTTGAATCCCCGTCAAGTGTTTGTCTTATTGGCGATTTATGTACTTACTGGTGACCCAGCGGTGGCTCTCGAGTATATCAGCGCGAAGGCTGCGCGTGAACAGATGGAAGAGGCAGACGCAGAAGACAAGAAACGATATGTGGAAGAGCTGTACCTCAAAACAAGCTTGGAAGACATAGCATCGCTGCAGGATCCTTCTGGTTCGCGGCAGGGCATTTACAAGACTGCACAGCGTTGGATTGCCAGACGAAAAGCCAGAAACTTCGTGTGCAATATGAATGCGATTGGCGTGGCTCCAAGTTCAGAGCAAGTTGCAGAAGAATATCGCAAACAAAGTGCGTCCTTTGTGCCAACTACCGATGCCCGTGGATTACGAGCCTGGAGCAGTCGCTTCCGTCGCAGTTTTGCCTTCCGGCTGGGCAAGATGAAAGCGGCCAAGCCAGTGGGAGATGTTTGTGCAAAGGCCGGGTGCTGGGTTCTCGAGACTTCCTGCACGCATAACACCGCATGCTTATGGTAGCTGGTTGCAGTGGATCGTTCTGCACTTATCTGCGTTTCGATACCTCCTAACCAGCGGCAGCATTTGGACCCGAGGATTGAGGGGCCGCATCGCTTTCGACTCCATGCGGGGATGCTTTTTGAGCTCATTTTTGGACCCTCTTTTTGGAGCTGCTTTCTAAGGCTAACTCGTGGAAGCACTTACAACCCCAAAACGAGGCTCCAAAATTAGGCCTCGTTCTGGCTCCAGTTTTGGGGCCCAATTTGGGTTCAATTTCGGTAAGCCATTTCTCGTTGCCTGCAGGCCGTGCTCTTCTGGCGCCACGCTGCTTGGTTGGAACGCTCCAGCGCGAAGCAGCCAGTCTACATCAATATAGATGAAACGGCTTTAGCCTATTCGTTCCATGCTGCGCCTGGCCTGATACAGCGGAAATTCCACGCAGAGGTTCAAATTAGACCTCAAGACGCACGTGGGTGCATCACCCACGTCGCTCTCGTCTCAAATGTCCTCAGTGTGCAAGCGCATTTGCCACAGATTTTAATATGTAACAAGCGTCGTCTCAGCAGAACCCTGGAGCAACAATTGCAAAGCGTTGTTCCCTCCACCGTGACTCTCTGTCGTGAGGATTCCTCATGGAATTCAGCACGACATATGGTCTCCTTGCTAACTCTCTTGGGTCAGCTCTTTCGCATCCGCTTCCCGCAATATCAGGCCATTGTTGTCTTCGACGCGGCCTCGTGCCATCTTTCTCCGGGCGTCATAAGAGAAGGACGCCTCCAGGGGTTATTCATGCTGCCGGTGCCCCCAGGCATGACGTCCTACCTGCAGCCTTTAGATTTATGGTGTTTTGGACCATATAAGAAATGGTTGGAGCGCGAAAACCGCCAGCAGCGAATTTGCCAAAATGGGCTCGTGTCTCTAGAGACTTGGTTTAGAACAATTTTCAAAGCGTGTACAGACTACTGGACGAATCGTCCCTTTTGGAAGGCCTTTGCACAGGCAGGCCTTCCCACATCCGAGCAAAGGTTGCGTGGCAAGCTTGCCTCGCTGTTCCCGGAGGGAATTCCCAGTCTGGAGCAAGCTTTGTCTCCAGATGAATTTGCACAGTTGTTGCCTAAAAGGCACGACTTGACCCGGACTTTTTCTGACTGGGTGGGCGGTCCCCGGCGAGAGGTGCCGGTGCTTTCCTAAACATCTTGAAGCATGCAGAGAAGACGTGCTGCCGCAAAAAATTGCAACTGTACAGGAACGACTTGTGCCCCTAGCGTATCAGCTGCTGCCAAGCACTCTGATTTTGGCTCCGGCCATCAAGCAGTTAATATGGCGCTTGCTGAGTTCTCTGCTTGGCTCCAGCAAACCCTGCCTTAAAACACCGTGCTGAAGGCATGGCAAACAACGAGGCAGGTCAACACTGTTTCACAGCACCCCTGCTGAAACAAAGCGCCCCGCCCGAGGCCGAGGTTGCGGGACCTGAGCTTCCACGAGAGCCCGACCGTGTGGAACTGCCACAGGTAGCCATGCCAAAAAAGCATCCACAGGAGCAGCTGCTCACTCGTATCTACGCAGGAAACGCTGAACGAACGCCTTGCTGCCCTAAAAGCTGCCAGGGCAGCTGCGAAGGCTCACAGCATTGTGTGTCTTAGGAGGCTCAGGCCCTTTCTTGTACAGCCTTGTGTGCCTCTCCAGGTACAAGCCAAGCAGCTGAGCAAGGTGGTAAAGGCCGAAACAAAAAAGCTCAAAAAAGCGCGGGCGGTGGCACGAAAGCTGAGCGAGGCAGACTTGCTAGGGCTTCTTGTAGAAAAGAGGCAACCAGTTCTCTGAGAGTGGGAGCTGGAAGCTTCTAGAAACTGTTTTTTCGAAAGCTTTTCCCTCGTTTCTCACTCCCGCAGCTGATGCTCTTGATAATCTGCAGACTTCTTCTGAAGTCGACAAGTTTGTGCAGACTCCAAACTTTTCTTCTGCACTCTAAACGCCTGTGCTGTTGCTGCTTTCTGCAAGAGAAGCAGATGCAGCGACACGTGCCTTGAAAATATTGCTGCTTTGTTTTGCTGAAATGATGTCGGAGATTGTGGCAGTAGTCCTGTGAAGTTTTCATTCGCTCTTTTGCAAGTAACAAGTCGTAGCCGTGATGCTTTTGTCCTAACATGTTCAGACTTTTGGCAAGAACATTGTTAATGTGCTTTGGGGAAGACTGAAGACAGCAGTGCACGGCAGCATGAGCTCAACAATGGTGTGCTTTGTCTGCGATGGATCGGTCGTGACCTGAGATGCTAGCCTGTCTCTGCGTTGTTGCGGCCGTTCTTGCAAGCCCTGCTGTCCTATTTAGGAAAATATTGCATCGGACCAAGCTTTTGAGATTTCGGAAGATATTGCATCGGATCAAACTTTTGAGAAATAGGAAGTTATTGCTTCGGATCAACCTTTTGAGATGTGCTCTGGAGTACTGCTAGCGATGGTAGAGACAGCAGTGCAGTACAGTACAGCGGCATCTGACGACTGAAGACAGTAGTGCAGTGCAGCAAATACTGCGCCGTTCTTGAGGTGTGATTTTTTTTGCGACGGATCAGTCGTGACCTGAGATCCAAGCCTCTTTCTGTGCTGTTGCTGCCGTTCTTGCAAGTAGCCGCGTCGTGCTGTCATATTTGGGAAGATATTGCATCGGATTAACTTTTTGAGATTTAGGACATAATTGCATCGGATCAAGCTTTTGAGATGTGCTCTGGAGTGCTGTAAACGATGCTAGGGACAGCAGTGCAGTGCAGCGCAGTGCAGTGCATCTGAAGACTGAAGACAGCAGCGCAGTGCAGCATCAGCTCAATGATGCGCCGTTCTTGAGGTGTGATTTTTTTTGCGACGGATCAGTCGTGACCTGAGATCCAAGCCTCTCTCTGTGCTGTTGCTGCCGTTCTTGCAAGTAGCCGCGTCGTGCTGTCATATTTGGGAAGATATTGCATCGGATCAACCTTCTGAGATTTAGGACATAATTGCATCGGATCAAGCTTTTGAGATGTGCTCTGGAGTGCTGTAAACGATGCTAGGGACAGCAGTGCAGTGCAGCGCAGTGCAGTGCATCTGAAGACTGAAGACAGCAGCGCAGTGCAGCATCAGCTCAATAATGCGCCGTTCTTGAGGTGTGATTTTTTTTTGCGACGGATCAGTCGTGACCTGAGATCCAAGCCTCCCTCTGTGCTGTTGCGGCCGTTCTTGCAACTAGCCGCGTCGTGCTGTCATATTTGGGAAGATATTGCATCGGATCAACCTTTTGAGATTTAGGACATAATCGCATCGGATCAAGCTTTTGAGATGTGCTCTGGAGTGCTGTAAACGATGGTAGGGACAGCAGTGCAGTGCAGCGCAGTGCAGTTCATCTGAAGACTGAAGACAGCAGCGCAGTGCAGCATCAGCTCAATGATGCGCCGTTCTTGAGGTGTGATTTTTTTTGCGACGGATCAGTCGTGACCTGAGATCCAAGCCTCTCTCTGTGCTGTTGCGGCCGTTCTTGCAAGTAGCCGCGTCGTTCTGTCATATTTGGGAAGATATTGCATCGGATCAACCTTTTGAGATTTAGGACATAATTGCAACCTTTTGAGTTGCTAACGCGGTAAAGGGCAGTGTTCGGTCGTGCTCTGGAGTGCTGCTAACGCGGCAGAGACAGCAGTGCAGCGGCAATTCAAGACTCTTCGCAGGGTTGCTCTTTCAGTTCAGCTCCTTTTAGGAGGTTTTGTTTTTTGTTGTTGGTTTTGGTTTTTTTCCTTTTGTTGTTTGTTTTGTTTTTTTGTATTTTTTTTTTTTTTCTTTGTTTTTTTTTTTTTTTGTCTTTTATTTTTGTTTTTTTTCTATTTGTTTTTTTTTTTTTTTTTTTTTTTTTTTTTCGTTGTTTTTTTTTTCGTTTGCCCGTGTTCCGTTTTTTTTTTCCCTTTTTTTTTTATTTTTGTTTTTTGGTTTTTTTTTTTTTTTTTTTTTTGTTTTGTTTGGGGTTTTTTTTTTTTTTTGTGTTTTTTGTTTTTTTTTTCAGTTTTTTTTTTTTGGGTGTTTGTTTTTTGTTTTTGTTGTTTTTTTTAGGGTTCCTCAACACATCTGGGGTTTCCCAACCAACATCTCCTTTTAGGGTTGAAGGTGTTATTTTCTGGTTTTGAGCGGAGATTTTTAGACTTCTGCCAAGAACACGCTTCCAAAGAATAGCTGGAGACTCTGCAAATCCAGTTTTACGTGGTGTGGCGCTCTGGAGTGCTGTTAACGCGGTAGAGACAGCAGTGCAGTGCAGCGGCAATTGAAGATTGAGTAGAGAAAACAGTACAGTGTAGCACCGGGTAAATCAAGCGCTGCTCCCTAGGTTTTTCTGATTTCTGACACATCGGTCGCGACCTGAGATTGATACACTGAGAACAGTCCCAGTCATGGTTTGGAGTGCCGCTACGTGATGGAGAGCGATGTTAGTGGCGTCGTGCTCTAAAGTGCTGCTATAACGCGGTAGAGACAGCAGTGCAGTGCAGCCGCAGTTTCAAGACTGACTAGAGAGAACAGTACAGTGTAGCATCAGGTAAATCAAGCGCAGTTCCCTAGGCTTTTCTGATTTCTGACGCATCGGTCGCGACCTGAAATTTACAGACTCAGAACAAGTCATGGTCTGGAGTGCTGCTACGTGATAGAGAGCGATGTTAGCGGCGTCGTGCTCTGAAGTGTTGCTTTAACGCGGTAAAGACAGCAGTGCAGTGCAGCGGCAGTTTGAAGACTGAATGTTGCTGTGTCGTGCTGTGGAGCGTGCGTGCAGTGCAGCTTTGTTTTCAGAATGAAAACTGCAGGCAGTGCAGTTGCCGAGGCTTGCTTGACTTCCATCGGATTTGTGACTGAACAGGGCAAAAGTCCAGCCGCTCCTTGCTTTGTAGCTTGCAGAAGGCGTTGACGCAATTTACACTTCGGCATTGTCCTGCTCCCACCACGTACACTTCACAGCGTAGAAGCGCCGCACGATGCAAAGAGATGCCTGTTTTGCTCGCTACCCCCCTCCTTGGTTTCATTTTGCTCGGGATGCGCTGCTCATGTTGCTCGCTTTGTCTCCCCAGTTTTATTGCTCAAAGGACGCTCTTCTGGTCGCTCAAGCGTGGATCCACCAAGAAAAAGACATGCCATCGTCCACCTGGGCCGAGGGACTGGAGACCACTAGTAGCTGGAAGGCCACAGTGAGCCCCGTGAGGCGTTCCTTTTTTTCTGCTCTGGGAGAATAATAATTCTATTCTCCCACAGCGGGAAAAAAGGAATGCCTTCCCCACTAGGGGGATTTCCATCTGGAAGGTTCCTTTGCGTTCCTTTCCGCTCTGTTTTCCACCAGAAACGTGGAAGTCGCAAGGGTTCTGACAGGTTTGGTGTTCCCTTTCCATTCCTTTCCACAGTTTTGGACATCCAGTGATCTGTTCTGCCGTTGGCGCGTGGCCCAAAGTTGCTTCAATGAAGCGCCGGCGTTTGCTATATAAGCAGCCTCTTCCTGCCGCGCCGTCGAGTGATGAGCTTGGGCAGGTGAGAACGCTTGTGAGAGACAAGTGGGTTGCCTCCTACCTTGCCGAGCATGGACGTGGGGGTCAGGATGCACGTGCTGCGGCCAAACGAGAGTTCACCTCAGCCGCCAACAAGCGTCAGATGCTGAGTTCCATGCTGGAGTCTGGGCAGGTACCACCCCGGCTTCATGCAGCAGCCACCCGTCTAATCATGGCTTGGACATCTGAGACGCCCCTCCGTGGCCCACATGAGGTGGAGGAGGATGTCATGAGTTCGTACCGTGGCAGTGGGACTATGTTTCGGTATTCAGGGTCGTGGAGCCGTGTGGACGATGCCGCAATGTCGGCGGTGCTGGTTGCGAAGGGTCACAATGGCATTTCTGAGGTATGCAGTCGCCTCAAGTGTCACCCCTATGTGCAAGGATTGTGGGACGAATTCTCGGCCTTCAGGCAGCAGCTGGTGTCAAGCACACCTATCACGCGCTGGACTGCAGCCATGGAGCTACATGTGGAAGCTTCGCTTGCGGCCAACCCTCCCATTCCATCGGTACACATACATTTTATGTTTGATGCCATTGGCAAGACCATCTCATTTCGAAATGAGCCTGGATTGAAGTTTCGCAACTCGCAGCCGTACAGGTCGCTTGCAGCACCAGTCGCCCGCGGACGGGCTTGCAAACGAGCCTATGATCAGGGGCA